TGCACCAGATTTGCTTTGTAGTTTACTTTTTTTGATTTGATTTGCTTTGGGCATTTTTTTTTTGTAAAAAGAAAATAAAGAATTCATTGATCGATCGACAGCGCGTACTACTCGTTGAACATTATTTCAAAAATGCCTTAAAGAATGAGCACTATTGAACATAAGCAGGATAATGGTTGTCTGATCCAAGGTTTCATATACTTTTTTATCAAAAATAATCGCATTTCTTTTTATTTGTAATTGATAAAAGTTCTAGAAAATATAGAAGCATGTAATTTTCTTCAGAATTTAAGTATCGAGAGTTGGTTGTAATTTCTTATTAGCCAGTTAAAAATCTTCTATAACGTGCGTGATCTTGGCCAATCTTATTTACGGAGATCATTCCTTAAAATAATCACCAAATTAATTCTTTAAAAAAAAAAAAATGGTTTTTAATTGTGTTAATCGTATTTTAAAAGTTGTTTGAATTATTAGTTATTAGTTATTAATCAACTTGATATTTCTTTATTTATCTAAAGGTTAATTTATCACTTTATACAACTACAGCAGTGGTACTTCTTGATGGAGACGGCAATAGGATTCTAGCAAAATATTATGGTAGTAAGAATGCATATCCTACAAATAAAGAACAAAAGGTATTTGAGAAGGGATTATTTGATAAAACTAAAAGATCAAATGGTAAATAATTTATAATTTCATAATAATCCACAAATGATTTTTTATCATAAAAAAAAAAAAAAATCATAACTTACAAATTAAAAATTGAAATTTTTTTATAGGGGAAATTATTTTATATGACAATCATGTAGTTCTTTATCGTAATAACATTGATGTGTTTTTCTATGTTGTTGGATCAGCGGATGAAAATGAACTCATTTTGAATAGTATTTTAAATGCATTCTACGATTCAATTTCCAATTTATTAAGGTAAAATTACAATTAATTAATTAATTAATCAATTATCATTGACAACAATGATAATGACAACGATAATGACTATTGTTATTATTATTATAATTATTTGTGGTAGACATCAAGTAGAAAAAAGAACAATTATTGATAATTTAGATTTGGTTGTTCTCGCCTTGGACGAAACTATTGATGATGGGTAATTAAAGAGAGAGAGAGAGAGAGAATTTAATTTAATCAATTCTCAATCTAATCCTTAAATGCAATTTAATAACATATCATTTATAATATTATAGTATTGTATTAGAGACAGAATCAAATGTTATTGTTTCTCGCGTTTCTAGACCTCATACTGAATCATCGGATATTCCAATAACAGAACAAACAATTATTCAAGCATATCATACAGCCAGAGAAAGAGTTACTGAGCGTTTAATGAGAGGGGTTTAGAGACATACATATATATATTATATTTTTACATATTTATATAGATGTATTTATTTATATTATTCTAATAACTACAAGATTTTGTATTAGTGACTACCATGAGTGGTTGAATTTGATTCATCTGATGATTATAATAATAATAATGAATTTTCATAGACTAACGATTCCTTTCTTTTCACCAAAGATGATGATGACACGTTTTCATTGAAAATTAATTGTTTCTTTTCATTTACTAATGATAATGATGTGGAGTCTCCTCCCTATTGTTTCAGTAGCAAGTCTGAATGCATGTCCAAAATCAATGGAAATTTACCACCGAGAATTCCTTCCCGATAATGAGGATTATGCATTTCCATTTCCCAAGAGACTCATTTCAATCTTGTTCAATGGTTTTTATATAACTACTGATTTAGTTGTCACTCATTATTGAATTCTTCATCTGTTACTTCTTCCACTATCGATTCAATATTTTTTTACGAAAAGATGTATTGTCATGTTATTGTTATTATTATTATTAAAATAATCAGAAATCAAATTGACTTTGATAATTTTCAGTTTGTTGATGAATGATTTTCTATTTTAATTAATTTTAATTCATGATTTACATCTTCCAACAGCAACAATAATTGTTTATCTTTTTAGTAGATGATGATGGTGATGTTGGTGATGTTGATTATGGACCAATATTAACTACATACAAAGGAATCCCAAAATTATATCATAAAGTTTAATCTTTATTGTTCTAATGGTTGTCGTTCTAAAATTACAACGTGGTATTAATTTATGACTTTAGACATTTGATAAACACTTTTTTTCCTTGGATTCAACTTAATAGTCGCTTCAACTAATAATAATATATTAATAATGGTTGTCGTTATAAATTATTACTATAACGCTACTTCTTTATAAAACTTTCACCATTCATATTTTTCTTCCCTTATATCACCATTGTATTTGTTCTAGAATTAATTGTCTAATCCATCATCCTGTTTTAGAAGCAATTGAATGAGGGCATAAAAAATTGTGTAATTTATTAAATCATATGATATATAATATACATACATGTGACATAACAGAATGACAGATAAACTTTAATTCGAGAAAAAATGACAACAGCTGCTAGGCCAACTTTTGATCATGCTAGAGGAAACGATAATAAAGCACTAACTTTTCAATATAGTTCTAGGGATCTTTCTGCTCATATCAACTTAAATATAAAATAGTGTCCCATGTCGCAATCCAAAAAAGGAAACAAAATGGTCGTAAAGACGGTTGCAATCATTTTTATATGACATAAAGATGGTAGCAACCATCATCAAAAGTTGCAGCCGGTATCCTTAATATCAAAATTGCTTTCATTTTCAAATTATTGTTTTTCAATGTGGATTTTAATATATATATATAGACAAACAGGACAACTTACACAAGATGTACTTGAAAGTATAGATCTTTAAAGAAGAACTTTTTAAAAGCAGAGAAAGGTCATTTTGAAAATAAACAACATTCAGAAAAAACATAGTAATGACGACAATCAATCAATAAAAACAAAGAAAATTTTTATTAGACTCGACTACACAATTAATAGATGCAGACGATGATGACAGTGATGAAAGGTGTGAGGATTTCTTCTTTAAAAAAGTGATCATATATATAATAGAGTGATTAATTGATCAATATTTGTTTATTTCATATCCACCGATTTTTGCAACATTTTAGGGCACATAAAATTTTCTAAGGGGTTACTATATAGAATTAGAAGCTAATTTCGCCCCCTTTTTTTTTGCTAAATCTACATATTAATATTAATATGCGCCATTATAATTTCACTTCTGTTTAGATTTTTAAATTTTATTAAAATAATAATAATTTGATACAAAGATCATTTTAATGTCAAAGAAAAAATCAATAATAATCAATGTTCAATTTCTTTTGTCTGTTTTGCATTCATTCATTATTTAGGAAATGTTGTAGTATATACAGAATATACTTTCATCTTATCTCAAATTAAAATCCCTATTTTAAATTGTGGTTTTTATTTATTTATTTTCCTAATACTACATACAGTAGTTTAAAATCCTATGTTTAGCTTTGGAGTTTGATTTTCAAGTAATTAGTTACTTAAATTCAAAATACCACCATCCAACAAAACAATTGATAAATATGCAAAGAATGTTATAACGATCTTTTATAATTAGCTTTATTGATGATTTATTTAATAGAATCATCCTCATGCCTTGATTTTTGCACTATAATTTATATATATATATATCAAAAATTAAGATTAAAACTAATAATAACAGATAAAAATAATAAAAACTCTAATAAGTTATTACCTTTACAGTATTAATATTAATATTAATATTAACAATACATAAAAATGTCACCATTCCATAATCTGTAATGACATCTATATTTTATATAAATAATAGATTTAAGGCATGTGGTAATGTGAAATTGATTCAAAAAATATTTAAATTTTAGAAATATTATTACAAGTTAAAAAACTACATATTAATATATATAAATCTAGGGGTTACAAAAATCCAATTCACTGTCAAATCTCAACAAACATAATAATAACAAAAGTATATAAAAATTACTTTTTTTAGATAAATAATGGTGTAACATATCAACAATGTACAAAAAAAACCAACGAAATGTGCCCCAAACATTTCAGAAATCAGTGGATATGCATACATTTCCATTTTTGAGGAGATCAAGGATCTACACAGCCAATAAAAAGGTGACTTGCATCATACAGCATAATGGACATTTGATTTCATTGGCTAAAATTTGTGACAATTTCCCTTCCATATATCATGCAAAAATTAAATTTTATTGGCTTGATGATCATTATGCAATTTGAAAACAAAATAAATTTATATAGGAGGGGAATTTAGTCTCAAATGGAATAAGTGAATAAGTCATAATTCTTTTTGATATTTGATTATTCAAAAAGGGGGTTAATGAACAGAAATACTACTTGTATTGATAAATAAAAGACTTTGCTCTTGAAGGTAAGCATTATTTTTTTGGTTAAATGCAAGGTTTTGATATTCA